GAAAAATCTCAGGTCCCTCACAGATTTTGATGCCTACTGCTGTCTACGAAATTATCACGTTGACCCCATAACACTCTTCTTTAACAACTTGCCCAGTGCTGCTCTGCGCCTTATCTTTACTTAAGTATACTTAAGATTTATACTGTCTACTTCAAAAAAAAAAAAACCTCAAGACTATTTAACATTGTTTTAAAAAAATATGGTGCAATAAAACACACAGCAGGCAACTGTCATTCTCCATAAGAGGAAAAGAGGGGAAATTTTTGCCTTTTTCCATTTTTAGAGACAGAGAGATGCAAGGCAGAAAAATCCAATGATTGCAAAGACTTTCAAAAAAGTTCCCCAGCAGGTGCAGCAGGCAGGGCTGTGGCCTCGGGTTGAGTTCCTGGGACATTCTGTGTAACTGACCAAGCGGCATCAAGCAGCAGCTGTCAGGTGAGGGGCAGGGAGGTGGGCGGCCCGAAGGCCCAGAACCACAAGGACTCCAGTTTCCTGCCAATTCAGGAAACACTGGATTGGAGATGCCTAAAAGCTCGATGCAAGGCAACCAGAATGCACGAAGCTGATGGCTGATACTATTCCATCAGTACTGGGCTAGCTGGAAGCTGGATACCAGATGTTTGTGATTCCCGCCAGGGGGACTGGATGGCCTCGGAGAGCACATCTGTACCTGAGGGAGGCTACAAACACATCACACAATGAAGCGGACGAAGATGCTCAGTCAATGACTGGTGACAATGACAACAGCCATGATGATGAATGAAAATGATAAAAAACTGATGATTCATTTCAACGAACTGAACATTTCACGATATAACTATATAGCTATGTTTTATTTCCAAGTATGAAGATCAGAAGGCTAGAGAAATTGTCATATTTACCAGGACTTTAAATGCTGGGATCTGTGAGAGAAAACATCAGTCATCATGTCCATAGTCTATGCAAGTGCCTCCAGGTGGGTGCTGGTGAATAGGTCATGGCCATATAAGCCATATTTTGTATCTCCAGATATCTGGAAATATCCAGGAATCAATCACAGGTAGGAGAAACATCACTGTTGAACACACCTTTCCCTGGCATAAAATTAATACAGCGTGGTCAAATTTTCAAATGCATCTCTAAACTGTTATTTCTGTGAGCAAAATAGAAAATAGTGAGCTAAAAAATGAGAAACACAATCGAGTCGCTAGGTATGCCCTCAGGCCTGCACTAGTGGGTGGAAGTGCCTTGTAAACTCTTCACAGCAGCTTCTTTCTGCTGGGAAATGGTGACTTCTCTCCATTTAGCCTCAGCAGGGACTCAGGTTTGCGAACCAGGGAGCCTGCAGAGAGCACACTTCTCACTTCTAAGGAAGGCAGTTCACCTCCGGGGCACCCTGCAGGGACCACCTTCAGCACCTCGTTTTGAGATGAGTGGTTTTCTCCACTTTGTTTCCATGGAACAGGTTACCTAGATTCTCACCCCCACTGGCATCAGAGGTGACCTTGCTATTGTGACTTCACTCTGGGTCCACAGATTATCATTATTTTAATCCTCAGAGTAACTTCCTCAAGGGTCACACCGAAGAACTCTATCCCACTAAGAACACTGTACCTTCTTCTCTAATGAGTGAAGACAACTAATCTGTTTCCAGAGTCATCTGTGAGTTTCTTAAAATAATAGGAAATAAACTTATTAGACAGATATTCTGAAGTATATCTCCAGGGCTCAGTGACAATAAAGAAAGGGTAATTAAAGCAATGGATGAAGAGAGAGACCCTTCCACGTTTGCCTGGATGTTGTGAGGCGATCTGTCTCCACTCACTAGAGGACAGAGCAATTGAGAACACACGCATCCTGTTTCTTCATCACTTGGGCCTGAGAGTTTCACACAAAGGAAAAACATTCAGAGCATCACCACGAAGCTTAGGCTCCAGTGGGACAAACATCTGCTGTGAGCTGCAAGACGGCCAGATGGAAAAGTAATTCAAGCACACGCTGACTTGCTGGTGGGAGTGGTGGCATAATTTATGCAAAAGTTAAAGCAGATTTAGCTGGGGAGGTTTTTGGCTGAAAGATCTCACTAGATGGCGCACAAACTGGTATTTTGACCACTTGCCCTTTCCTCTTTGTAAATATATTTTGTCAGAGTAAAGGTAAAGAAGTCTTTCATGTTTTCGTATTTTCAGCCATCAAAAGTCCTCTACAACCCAAATGGGTTTTAATAAAAGATCTCATAAAGTGACCTTTAATCCTGAGTTAGGTATGATTCAGGAACAATTACCTGTTTTTCCTTTTTTTTTTTGTAAATAAAATTCTGAAATGTAGGCTACAATGTTTACAGATACTGGGGAAGGGGCAGCGAGGGAATGGCGTGCCATTAATGGGAGTAGCACCACAAACACCAGGGTACCATGATGCCCGGAAAGACAGCTGGGTTGGGAGTCTAAACAGTGCCTGACGTACTCCCAGTCTGGTGCCAACAAGATCTGAAGCATATCTTCCAACTGTCTGAGCCTCAGTTAAATGTGGATAATAGCATCTCCCCTACTTAATCAGATGCACCACAAGGTATCCAAGAGTAGCATTTGGAAGGAAGACACTGAGCACAACAAAAAATGTGAAATCAATTACTAGCATCTGATTCCACAAGGAGCAGGAATGAGCACTCCAGTCAGCCCCTGGCACGTCTGGACCACACGCCAGGTGTTTGGTGCAGGACAAACACCTGGAGGCGTGACTGCATTTTTTATTCCTCCTCCAGGAATACTGTCAATGTTAGGAATAAGCAAAAAAAAAAGTCACTTTCAGCATCGGAAAGTGGGACCTGGTGAAAAGGACAGACTTATTAACTGGACACTAGCAGAATGTTTCAAAAAAGCACAACAAACCAGGCTGAGGGAAATCTTCCCATCCTATCTGTTTTGTGTTTCAGTCGTAAGGGCAAAGGCTGCAAGTCAGAAGGCAGCTTCAGTCATTCTCTTTGAGAGCATCCTCTTACAGCACTTCTCCTTCGACACTTGAAATTTCCAGTTGTGTAATTCAGTTAAGTATCAGGACAAGGATGTCAGAATATTTATTGTTTCCAACTGATCTGGGTGACAATGACTTAACATATAATGGACAGTGCTTCTAGATTCTTGTGGAATCACAAGACTCACTGTTTCCTCATCCCCTCCCCCCACGAAGGAAAAAGCAAACATCAACGTTGTTCTATTAATTTGTTTTTTCATTGGGGGAGAGTAATTAGGTTTTATTATGTATTTACTTATTATTTTTAACAGAGGTACTGGGGATTGAACCCAGGACCTTATGCATGCTAAACACACACTCTACCAAATGAGCTATACCCTCCCCTCACTGTTCTATTAATTTTCAACCAGGTCTTAAATTCAAGTCCAGGATCCCTTTTTCTGATGCAGATCTCAATTACGGTGTGATTTCAGTCAAACCTTCTCTTAGACTCATTGATCCCTTCTCTGCAAGGGAAAATGACATTTGCTATTTATCTTTCTGAAAGCATACTGAAATAACTTTATTTTCCCCAAATGCATACTATGTATGCACAAAATAAGTATTTTCTGTGTACTTACTGAAGTTTCAAGTTTCTTGTCTTTTTAATTCCTTGAATGGCCTCGAGTTTGACTGTGACCAGCCAAAACACTGCCTTTTTGCCACAAACAAACATCAAGGAGATTAAAAAAAGCTGGAAAACAATGTTTATAAATACTGACCACTTCCTCTCAGCTTGCGGCCACTCTGCACTTCACAGTTTGGACAACCATCTGTAAAGTGCTAGAGATATAACTCGGAGAGTAAAAGGTCTCAAGATGAAGTGCTGAGCCACAATTTTGCAGGGGAATATTTGTTACATTGCCTCTGGAAATACCACTATGTAGACAGAGCAGTGATATCAGGCAGGGCTTGGAAAGCACAGAGCTGTGACAGAGCAGTCTGTTTTCCTGATCCTCAGAGTCATGATATTTTAAGACCAACATTACTCATCTACGGCTGAGCCATCTGCCCGGGACAGTCTTCCATGGCTCAGGGACCAGGGGTGACTGGATGTGATGGAAAGCTGGGGTGGCACCAGCCTGCTCCTGCCGATTGAGCCCTGAGGCTTGGAGAACCAGCAGAGAACTGGACAGCCAAGATTGCTCTGTTACATCCAGTTCTGCTGAGGTCATGGAGTCCTGCCTTGTTTAAATCAGACTTTATGCCATATTTAGTCAACCCTCTTAGAGTTAAAAGTTTAGTGTCTCTGTTGTCTTCAGCTGGCTAAGTCTACATCAGGCTATAAGCCATAACACTCAGTTAAACTAAACAGTCCTAGCCACAGAGTTAGTCTCCACGCAATGTTAAGTGCCTGCACCCGAGACCCATCCTCTCTGACAATGTGAAAGAAAAAGGACCCACAATTTGCAACCAGGAAAACTGCTGATGCCCCAAGGCTGCAGGGGACAACATCGCTGCTTTTCTCCAAAGCTGAGACGGTAGGGAATTTCTATAGGGAGAGCCTGCCTGCCTGCACACAAGCACCCACACCCACACCCACCCACACCACGTGCCAGTCATCTTCACTATTTCCTCTTTTTTTTCCATCTTCAATGCTTAACTTCTATTTTCACTAGGTCCACATTTTTCTTTGCTTGCTTTGATTAACTTTATTCTCCATCGGTTTAACTTAAACCAGACTGACAATTCCTATAGTAAGCACATTTAAAAGGGGTCATTTTATTGGGCAGATCCAATCAATAAATAGCATGCAAATTACAGAGTAATAACGTTAAACCACCTGCAATTTAGGATTAAATGTCAAAGTAAGTCTTATTTTCGGCATTCCCCTTTTTCAGTGAACATACACTGATATCTTTATAAATAACTGTGCTTTGGCAAGTGGCTTTGCAGACCCCTCACGTAGCAGCCACCCCCCGAAGCATCCCATTAGTTGCCTCTCAGTATGAGTCTGCACGCAGGAATGGTTACTGCTGTGCAGAAGCAGCCTGTCTGATGTTCATTACCCCATCAGTGTCCCTCTCCTCTCCCCGCACTCACCTTGGGGAGGCTGAGGTGTTCCTGGGGAGGAGGATGAAACCTTGAGAGCCTCCTGTGAATCTAGAGACGAAGGGCTACAGCTCAGGGGGGCGGGGAAGGCTGGGGCTGCCGGTGAGGTCAGGTCCAAGGAGAGGTCAGCTCTGCCCCGGCTCGCGCTCCGGCTTCTCAGCTCCTTCTCATGCGCCTCAGCTGCCAACTGCTCCAAGTATTTGTATCTGAAAGTTAAATTCCAAAGGGTTTCCGTAAAAAGAATGAGGAGCCCGTGGCTGATGCTTGTTTATGGACGAAACACCTGCAGAGTGAGCTGGTTTCCTGATGCACAGAGCGCAGCGCAGGGCTGGCTGGAGGGTCCGTCTGCCAAAAACACCCAGCAGAGCCAAGATGCTAATGATTAAAAAATCCTGCATCATTCATAACCAAACAAACTGGGGAAGTGGCAACATCACAGACTCCAGATACTAGATCACGGCTGCAAAATCCCATTTTGCTCTTTTAGGAAACATTTGTGCAAACAAGTAAAACGGCAGTAACGACCATCACCAAGCCCCAGCAGTGACAGCTGAAAACCACACACCCTCGGAGCTCACAGCTGTGAAATGGGCGGGTGCCCTGCTGCGGCAGAGAGGAACAATGCCCCGAAATACCAAAAGGTTGTTGGACGAGAGCCTCTCTGAATTGCTGAACCTGCTTCAATGCTAACAGCAATGCGACTGGAATTCACTTTGTTCTCTCGGTGTCGACCATGGAAAGTTTTTTATATTCTAAAATATTTCTGAGTAGGACTCAGACACCCAATAGCTGGGATCTGACGTCACATATAGTTTATTCATCAAAGTCAGTTTAAAAGAACAAAGATACATCTGTTTTGCATTTCAGGCAGGCAGAACCCACTAACTGTTTATTAAGACCAGCTACCAATCATATTCCTCACAGTGCGCTTTATAGATCGGACCAAAATAACTTTGAAATATGTGCCTCTTCCAGATGTCGGCTAATTTTACCCACCATTATTGGTTCAGGGATAAATTTATGAACTCAGCTGTAGCAGGTTTCTGACTATGGTATCCACCACGCAACTCTGAAACAGCTTATTCAAGACCCTCACTCACATGCATCCGGATTCACTACTGCCGTGTCTTCCGATTGGCCAGCCCCCAGCACTGGTCCAGTGTAGCCCCCACCCAGACACTGCACACGGCACCCAACTGAGCCAGAGAAGAAAGGCAGAGCACACACTTAGAGCCTTTAAAAAGCATGCATTTCTTTAGCCATCCTTCAGGGGGGCGTGGCTCTCCGCGTCTGTAAGTCATCACCCCGTCTCCCGGCCAGTCCAAGGCAGTCTCTGCCCTTCAGGACAGGCTCGCACGCGCGTCTCCCCCTGGGAGACCTGCCTTGACCACCGCAGCTGGAAGTGATCTGGGCTTTGCCTCCGAACTCATGTCGGATATGTTGTCCATTCGACTCCGATGGCATTTTACATTGCTGCCTGGCATATGCAGTCATCTCTTCACATGTTTCTGTCTGTTTTCAACAAGCAGATAATAGGATTCTTGAGACCAGGAAGGTTACCATCCTTTGTTCTTTCCCTCGGTGATGGGAAGCCGGCCAAGTGTGCGGCGAGGAACCTGCGAGGCAGTAGCCCACCTGCGGAGGTCTGCCTGCAGCCCCGAGGGCCAAGGGTGCAACCCACCCGATTTCACTGTCTTGGGGCATGAGCTAAGCTTCAGGGTGAATCTTTGCTAAAAGATGGATCTGCAGATACAAACCTCTGCCTCACAGTGCTGGGGTGAAGCCAGACCCAGACAGAAAGCTTTAGAAACTCCGGACTTTCCTTGCCCACAACGTCACTTCTCAAAAAGTAGGAGAGGGAACAAAAGGAAGTTATTTCTGAACTTAATTCAGACCAGCAAGGAAAAACCACCTGGCTGTGGAAGTGACAGGAATTATGGAAGAAGTGGTCTTGGGGCAAGACTCAGCCCATATTTGTAAAGGCAGAGGGGCAGGAATGCTGTGAGCCCAGAAGTTTGTGAGCACAGGTGTCCCCATATGGTGCCCAAGACTTCTGCAGCAGGACCAAGGGCGGGCAAGGAATGACATGCAAAAAGGGGGCCTGCCCGGGTCCTGGAGACCGGAATCCTGGAGGGGGGAAGGGAAGAAGGGCTCTGACAAGATCAGGAGTCCAGGGAGAGAAATAATAAAACCTCACATGGAAGGCTTCAGGATGGGAGGACAACCATCAATAACCTTCATTTCAGCCAGTCAGGCCCAGGCCTCAGTCTGTCCATTCCCCTCCCTGTGGGCAGCCAGGCTGGCAGGTACGTGCTGACAGCCAAAGGGTTCACCCTATTTTCTGGGGGACCCCAGGGATGGCTCATCCAGAGTCTGGGTAGATATGAATCCAAGACGATTCCTGTGCACCCCTCGGTCTCAGGGACATCCACCCTGAGGATCCGAGAGTCGGGAAGAGAGTCAGTAACCTGAACTGTTCGGAGGACCTTATGCGGCACTGGCACTCGCTGAATGGGTAGAAAGGCCAGATCTACAGATAAAGCGTGCTGGAGACTGGCTGCACAAACCTGTCAGTGAACTTCACACTAGGGAATTATACACTGAAAAATGGTTAAAGTAATACACTTTAGGTGATGTGTACTTTTCCACAATTTAAACATGTTTTAAATGGCAGGGGTGGGGAATGCCCCGGTGTCACGAGCCGCTAAGGTTTTTTATTGCTCCCCTGCGATGGGCTGGTGTGGGTGGCCGGACACACACAGGGACAGCCGGAACCTGGCACTTACAGCTTCCAGCTCAGCCACAGTTCCTGCCCCACGTGCACCTCCAGGGCACAACCTTGGGGGGGGGGAGCTAGATCTTCCCTTAGAGAGTGACTGAGCGCCACATGGTACTTGATCCTAGGAGCCCGCTAGCCCATTTGACGACGTCCCACCTCTTGCTGCCTAGCAACAAAGCCCCTAAACCACAGGCCGTGATGCAGCCTCCCAGGTACGGGGCACTGGGTTTTCCATCCACAGACCACAGCTCCCCAGAAAGGCGTTTCACCTTTGCCGCCTTCACTGAAACATTCTCATTATCCTGCCTCTGGCCACATCTTTATTCATTTGTCTTTTCGTTACTCATTGAACCTTTTGTTGAGTGCCTGTCATGTGCTAAGAACCACAGTAGGCACTAGAGATTTAATAATAAACAAGGAACCCCCACCTTCGTTCAGGGGGAGAGACAGAAACAGTGGGAAACCCTCATGTCCCACAGGGCTGTGAGTGGCAGGGCTGAGGCTGCAGTCAAGGAACACACGCTAGCCTCTTTCCACAGGGCCTGATGGAAACCCTGCTTGACGTTCAACTTCCAGGCTTACAGAGGACACTTCCTGCCACCCTCCTACTTGGAAATTTTCCCTGACATGAAACTAGTATCTGGCTCCCTCTAAGTTCTACGCCGTCCTCAGACCAGGCTCCGAACCCTCTCTTACTGCTTCAAAATCAGCTTTATGCATAATTTCCCAAAACCTAGCCCAGCTCCAATCTTTCCCTTGGACTCTGTTCCCATAACCTCTGCTTGTCAGAAGGCACCTCCCACCCAGGTCCTGCTGTCCCCTTCTCCATCCTGACCCCCACCCCAACATGTTCCCTGCCTGGACCTCATCCCTCGCTACTTAAAAAATAAAAAGATTTATGAATGTCATATCAATCAATATCAGATAGAGAATTTCTTATCATATTTTTTAAAAATTAGAAGCAGACCTAACAGAAACTTATTCTGGGTCTGCAACATTATCAGTAAAACAGTTTGCCTGAAATGATGGAACGAGATGATACAAAATGCAATTTAAAAATTAAATCAAATTTGTATGGATGGCCATTATACCCTGAAACAGCAAAATGACATTCATCTCATTATACGAGCTGACATGAACCTCAAAAGCCCTCTGCTGTTGACTCTGTCTTTTCTGAGTCTCTGCAGTAAGGGTAAGGGTCACGGGACCCGACAAACACACCTGGCTCTACCCTGAGCAGTTAACAGAGGGTGTCCTCTTCTGTCTCTTTCCACCTCCGATCCCCATCAGTTTTTCCCTTCCATTTCCAAATTCCAGTATACCTGGAATCTTATCTTTTCCCGGCTTCCTGGAAACTCCCGACAGCCTTCCAAAAAAGGATGAAAGTACAGCTCCCTCACTCCCATCTTCAGTAGGTAACTCAAGAAGCAGCTAACCAGGAAAAGATGCTGGTCCAAACCGAAGGAAGATGCTTGGCTGCTTCCCTGAACCTCCATGTAAACAGAGAGGTGGGCGGTAAGGAAAGGATCCCACGTGGGGCCATGGAGAGCACCAGAGGCACCAGCCAAGAAGGCTCAGGCAGATGGGTGGCGCGGGGGTGAGGACAGAGGGCAGAACAAGAGGGAGAAGAGGGGTGGAAAACTCCGCTGCATGAGTTTTCCAGGCAGAAGTGACTCTCTGCTTTGAGGAACAGAGCAGTAAATAATATCCAGAAAGAGGGAGCCTTTAGCGATTTGGGGAAAATTTGATGTCAGCCTGAATCAGTTCAACCTTGACACAGCACCTGGTCATCTCTCCAGGAGCTTTGAAGCCTTGCCTGTGCGGACAGAATGTGACAGTCAAGCTGTCAAAAGCTCAAAAAAGTGCAGAATCTGGAGGGAAAGCCAAAAAATAAAATTTGATTTCTTAAGCCCGGGCATAATGGCATGTCCCCCAATGTCAAAAACAGGTACTAATCAGAGGAACAGAAGTTTCTCTGTTCCTTTACCAGCATCTTTCACTCTAAATTTGCTGGCCACAGCTGGTGATTAGGACGGCAACGATCCAGTAGAACGCTGGAATTAAAGCAGGGCCATTGTTTTGTTTACGAGGCTGACCTAAGCATCTAACTTTTAAATTGAACACAGGCAGTCTCCACTCTTCCCTGCCTCAGACTGTCCTGATCTATTTAACTGATGGTGTCTAAAAAAAATTAGCACAATTCCACTTTGCATTGGCAGCGATCAGAGATTGTTAGGTTCTCCGCTGGCTCTGGTATGAAATCAGCCTCTCCCATCTTTCCATGTCGTCGCGCCATCTGGTGGTAGAGGGAATAACTTCAGGCCGTACAGTGCTATGGGGGTAAACTTAACCTTTTGCTGATCTACTTTCAAAACCAATTTCCTTTGCTTATCTAAGTTTAGCAGACACTAAATGCATTCATGTGGCATGTTTTAGTGGGATTCAAAGTAGGTGGCCATTGAAATGAACAAACTGGTTTATAGCTTAAATATTTTAAATAAAGCTGTCGGTTCCTTAGCTCATTTATTCACTGCACCCTTCCTAAGTGCCTGCTATGTGCAAGCCCTGTGGCAGGCACTGGAACACCAAGCAAAAGCCAGGCACGGCTCCTGCCATCGGGAACTGAGCACGGATCAGTGGGGAGACGGTAAGTGATCAGGCACCTCCAGCAAGAGTCTCAGGAGGGTTTGGCACCCCAGCCAGTGTCTGGTATAACACGTTTGCTCAAATATTTGTCGAAGGAACGCTGAACAAGTCACTTAGAAACACACAAGAGGCACAACTAAGCCAGGCTTAGTAGCGGAGATGCAGGACACTTAAAATACATACCATGTGCCAGTATGCTAAACTAATGTGCTCATTTGGAAAAGAGTTTTGGAGGAACAGACACATATACCCCACATCATGATGGCACTAAATAATAGATCTGTACTTTTTAGGAAAATTTAGATAACCAGGACACTCTATTCTGCAAAATGCCAGGTACCCAAGGTCTCAAGTATCCTGGGTGAAGCTACTATATTGTAATTAACACACACTTCACATGCTTGGTTAAGAGTGCAAAGTCTCATGCCATTTGGTGACAACAGGAAAGAAAAGATATACAAACCTTTCTTCTCTTGCTTGTCTTTGCTCCTCTCTTTTGTCTAAATACTCTCGACTAATGGGAATACGCAGAAGAAACAGAGTGGAGAAGGAAGACAAGAGAATTAGATCATAAAATAGCCAGGAAAACTTTAACGGAATATATTGTGAAAGGCCACCATTACCTCAGAAATGGGAAGTGGCTGCGGCTGAATTTTTAAAAAATAAAGGCTATACATTAAAAGTACTAAATACGATGAGTTTTCTATAAAATCACAGGGGTGAAAACATGGGGTTATTGGATTTACACAGAGACTCCTACAATTACTCTTCAGAAAGAAGACTTTTAAATATATGGTGGGAAGGAGATGAGACCAAAAGATTTTTAAAAGGGGAAGTAATACATAAGTACAACATGGCAATGACAAGCAAGCAGCAGCTTTCAGAGGTGATTAACATCCAGTCAAGCTCTGGTAGTTCCCCAACATGCACCCCAAGACTTAAATCTGAGTGGGCCCAAGTGTCTTGGCCATTTTGCGCTGCACGCTACCGTCTGGACACTCCTTCTACAGCACGATTCTTCCTCTGCATCCCTCACGTTCTCCGTCTCTGAGCAGGGCTCACTGGATGCTCTTGCTGCATGCAGGCTCTTCTGCCTTTATCGACGAGATGCCCAGCTTTGTCTAATTTTAATGTTTGCTTTTCTGTTCTTCCTGGTGAGGTTCCAACTTGAATCTTCATTTAAGATGGTGTGGCCAGTCCCTTCTCAGTAAACCATTTGTTTTCCTGGAGAATTCTGACATCACGGTTTCCTATACTGGGCCTCCTAAGGTAGCTCAAAGATTCCATCCCTCTGTGCACTGGGAACTGGATCTAAAGGGGTGTTAAGTCAGAGCAACCAGAGCGGGTGAGGACGGGGAGAAAAAGCAACACAGACACAAATCCGTTATCATCTATGAACATCCATCCTCAGCACTTTCCACACTAGAAGCAGTATCTCCCATAACCCGGGAGACTTAACGAACAAAAGTCACAACAGATAATAATGCTTAACAAAGAAAAAAGCACAAGGAGTGTGAGCGAGTGGCTGATGAAGGGTCAGGCATTTGGGTGATCCCGGGGGCCGCTTTATAAAGCGCTTCCTATGTCCTTTTTTGAATTTCTTTTCATTGACATCCTCAGATTTTCAGGATGGAACTGCAGTCATCATGATTAATAGTTTCGTGCAGTCTGTCCTGACGGCCAGCATTCCTTTCTAGACAAGGGTTATTTTGCCAGGATCTCTCTGTGCTCTTAAATGACAAGTGAGATCCTTTTGGAACCAAGAGAAAACTGTGGATAGTTATGAGCATGGTCTCTGAATACAGGTTTCCGTGTCTAATTCTCACTCTGCCAGCGTGTGTGCTGAATGTGTATTACAACGCACTCTCGCTGATTCTTGAGACTTCAGTGACATGAGTGCTAGATGTACTATTGTTCCCCAGGTCTGTGAGGCACTGTTCATTTTTTCCAGTATTTTGTCCTGTTTTTCAGATTGGATAATTTCTATTGTCTTATCTTCAAATTCACTGACTCTTTCTTCTCTCATCTCTATTCTGCTATGAATTTTTTATTTTGGTTATTGTATTTTTCAGTTCTATGTGTATTTCCATTTTGCCTTTTCTTTACATCTTCTATTTCTTTGCAGAGACTTATCTTTTCATTTGTTTCAAAAGTATTTGCCCTTACATCTTAGAACATGTTTATGACAGCTGCTCTAAAGTCTTTGTCTGATAATGGCAACATCTATGTCCCTTTTGTGGTTAGCATATTTTGATTCTCTTTTGCCTTTCAGATGTCCCTGGGTTTTGTATGACAAGTGGTTTTGGGCTGCATTCTGTACATTTTAAATATTCTGTAATTCTGGGTCTTATTTTAAACTCTGGGTCTTATTTAAATTCTATGAAGAACCTTGATCATTTTCTTTCAGCAGGCAATCAACTAAGATGGGCTCAGCCTGCAAGTTCTAACTGTCTTCTGATATTGGTTCCAATATTAGCTCAGTTTTCAAACGTTCTTAGTGCTATTCATATCAGGCGCTTATGTGCACCCCCAGGGGCCAGCCTGGGACCTGACCGGTGCTGCATTCTGTACTTAGTTCTTGAAGCCTGGGGTATGCTGTTTAGGCACTAAGCCATGCGTGCACAGACTGGAGATGAGCTCAGGGTTGCTCTCTTGATCTCTCTACTTGTTGTGACTTTCCTATCATTTTCCGGACTCTTTGAGTCTCCTTTCTTGGTCCTCTGGCCAGAAAGCTTGGGCTTTATTTTCTCTGCTCTGCTGCGGACTTTCAGGAACCCCACCTGCACGCGGGGCAATGCGGCGGGAGGACGCGGAGAGAAAAATGGTGATTGGTCAAGCGCTCTTGTGATTCTGCTCTTCTGATCACAGGAAGGGTTCCCTCCCTCAGAGTTGTCGCCCCCTGCCTGGACACTGCTGCCTCCTCTATGCTTCTGTAACAATATTGCTTGGAGGCTGGGGTAGAGAGAAGAAACGAAGAAAATAACAGGAGATCTGTCAACTCTCTGACCCTCAGGAATTCCTTGTGCTGCTCCTCAGTCCAGAAAGAGAGGCCTTCTCTTAGAGCTCTTCCAGTTCACACCTGGTGTCGGCCTCTGGTTTTGGAGATGGCTTTGAGTACATGCCATGTGATACTGGAGGGAAAAAATGGTAAACTCTCGGGGGTTTGGTGAAACTTTGACTGCTAGCCTCCGTCCCCCAATTCACCTGCTCCCTCTTACAGTTCAGTTTCCAGAGCTCCACGCTTCACATCTGTCCGTGATTTACGGACGCACAGAGTGACCAGGGAGAAGAGACAGGAGGGGATGTGCTGGCTCCCTCCTCCCCAGGACTGGCTCCCTGCTTTACAGGTTTTCAATGAAAATCTTTCGACGTGTAAGCGAATCTCTGAAACTTTCCACGTTGTTTCCGTCAGATTCTCTGCTGCCCTTTGGTGGTAGAACACACGAGCCTCTCAGAAAGCCCTGGATCAGGAAGCACTTAACCTGTTCCCATGGTTTTACAAACTGGCCTTTCCAAAAGTGACGACTTCCAGAGCTGCCTCGTGGACAAACGGTGCTTACAGGTCCGGCATTTCCACATATCCTCTGGCAGAAATCTGACAGCTCGAGGTATACTGCACCATTACATACGGTGTGAGAATGATGTGGGTTTACTTCACACAGCCCACTAACCGCCTCTTACAGCTCCACCCACAGACTTGGGAAAGTTGTGTTCTTAAAGCAGTGAGTTAACAGTTAGGGCAAGTTCACAACTCGGCTCACGTTTTGATCATCCCTACGATTACACATCCTCTTTCTGGTGGCTGGAGAAAACATTATTGAACCTGCCAGTCCTCACTGACAATGTTTGATATTCTTTGTAGATTTAACTTGGAGTAACTGAGGGGAAATTGTCAAAGAACGTGAACTGAGGAAACAGGAGATGGAGACGGGAAGAAATAAAAAGAAGAAAGAGTGTAGATGCTACAGGAGAGAGAAATGGGAAGAGGAAGGAGGGAGAGGGGAGGAGCGGGGGACGCAAGAGGGAAGGAACGAAATGTGGAAGAAAAGATGCAGCAAGTGTTCAGCATTTTACAAAGTACTGCCCAGCATGAACCCAGGGAGTGGAGTGTCAGGAGGTCAACCAGGAGGATGGGGGGAAATGCTGGTCTGGCTGGAGGAGACAAGGAGTGACAGTGGATCCAGACAGGCCAAGACATGGGAGCTGCAGTGGGCCACACCCAGGAACACATCCCTGGAGCTGGACACAGACCAGGGAGATCAGGGGGCAGTGGGCTGGGAGTAGCCAGCGCAACGCCTTTCTCTTCCCCACAGAGGAAACATCATTGCTTACAAAAACCTATTAAATATTGCTACAGGGAGCAAGAAACAAACCAGAAAGGGAGACAGGCATCTTGTTTTAGACATCCAGTAGAATGTGAATAAAACATGAGTAGCTTCAGGGGAAATGGCAGATGAAGACAATTAGGTTCTCTGTGTTCAGGAAGGCCTGGATGAGACCATATTAGATAATGAAGGACCCAGGAGCACACACATCCTTAATTGAATTTGGCTGGCTGTGCTTCCTGCCATATGGTTTAAGGAAGACAGGCCACAATAAACCAGATATAACCTATTCCAGGTACCCTCTTGCTGTTCCCTGGAAACAGAGACAGCATCTGAAGCAAGCATATTAATGCCGAACGCTTTAACGCCAGTATTAACCATACACAATGGCAAAGCCATGTGCTTTAAGTTTCAGCTCATTATTTAAAAAATCTTAAAGATCCCTCTTACTTGAATTTGTTTCTTTCCTCCCGTTCTATCCTCTGCAACCTTTCTTCTCTCTCCTGTCTCCGCCTCTCTCTCTCCGCTGCCAAGGACTCTTGGTGCTGCTTAAACGATGATGTGAGAAGACCACTCAGTGATGACCTGAAGATACAAAGAATTACTGTTTGAGTGGCTTGGCCTGGGGTTCAAAGTACTGATGTGGGAATCAGTCAGCCCCTGGTTGGGACTGAGGGCCTGCTAGCACCTAGGTAACGCACGGGGGAGATTACTGTGTGTCTGGGGTCTTCTGTTTCAAGATCTTTATCTGGAAATGGAGATAAGGAAGCTGCTTCAAGTGGTAAGAGGACAAAAAGGCAATAAACCGTATAAAATACCAAGCAACGTGCTTGGCATATAAGCAGTCATCAATAATGGGTGCTGTTATTATCAAAAAGCATCTCAGGAAAACACACAAAATATAAATGCATGTTCTCCATCTCCATACACACACAGGTGTGCACACACACATTTTAAACTTGGTCTATGGTAAGCCTTTGATGAGCTGGAATCAACCTTCAGTCTGAAACCGTTTTCCATCTTACATGGACTAAAAATATTTTGCCATTTGCAAGTTTCTCAATGTACTTCGTCAACATAATTGTCATCTTAAAACGAGGTGTTGCAATGACAGATAAGGAGGAAAAGGTAGCAATGGTCTGAAATCTGAAGGGAATTAAGGAAATTTCACTCCATGTCAAGAAGCATCCAAGAACAGGCAGCTTGTTCAACGGACAGCACTCGACTCCTGGAACCATCCCACAGACAAGCCGGCCTGTTCACTGGAGATGGGGTGACGGTGTGATGGGGACGGTCAGTCGGGGGAAGGCCTCAGTGACAAACCACAAGGGTGTCCCAGGAAATGTGAAGTCAGGAGAATGGGTGGGAAAAGGTAAAATTGCATAACTACATGGAAAATAAAGAAGAGGGTTAGCTGGGGAGAGGAGTCTGTTGGGCCTCTGGGGAATAATAAACAAAATCTGTTACGGACAATTGGGCCTTCATCTGTTGGGGAAAAGAAATTTCTAAGTTAAGATACAAATATTTCTTAAAGAAGCCATAGTATATTTATACAATGGAATATTATTCAGCCACAAAAAAGAATAAAATAATGCCATTTGCAGCAACATAGATAGATCTGGAGATCGTCAGAAAGAGAAGGAAAAATACCATATGGTATCACTCATACATGGAATCTAAAAAAAAAGAAAAAGAAGACACTAGTGAACTTATCTACAAAACAGAAACAGACTCACAGACATAGTAAACAAACTTACTGTTACTAGCAAGGAAAGGGGGTGGGAAGGGATAAATTGGAAGTTTGAGATTTGCAAATACTAACTACTATATATAAAATAGATTAAAAAAACCAAATTTCTTCTGTACAGCACAGACAACTATATTCAATATCTTGTAGTAACCTATAACGAAAAAGAAAACAAATATATGTATGTATATGTATGACTGAACTACTGTGCTGTACACCAGAAGTCGACACATTGTAACTGACTATATTTCAATTAGAAAAACAAAAACAAATATTTCTGACATATAGCTTAGGTCAAAGCCTACTTGTATTTGATGAAAATATGCCTGCCTGGTGGGGAACACAAGGCCCCCTAGTACAGGAGACAGATGTGGCTCTTATATCACACACATTTGGCCATAAGTCCTATAGCTGTTCTCCCTAGAAAAAGTGAGGTGCCTCTGGCTATCAGTCAGAGGCGGAGGAGAAGCAGAGGGAAGGAACCACCATCCCTAACAGCTACAGGGAGGGAGAAGCCAAATCATATACTCCAGGCTCACTAGGGAGGTACTACATCAACCCTGGATCCTTGGGCATAGAGAGGATTTCATTTATCTTTCATGTAAACAAAGTCCAGACTCCCTGTATAACCTCTATCTTATTTAAGCTACTGTTACTCATTTATTTTTCTGTTACATGCAGCCAAATCTAATTCACAATCAGAGTGAAGGGGTTCCTATGCCTCTTGCACAGAGATTGACGGAAACTGTCATGGATCTAATAGATGTGTTTACCTGATTAATCAGCTCGATCTAGCATGTGAACACATACTGCCTGCTGCCCCAAAGGAGAGAAAACAGTTTTCTCAACTAGACTATTCAAAAACTGACAATCAATCCTGCCACAAAACTCAAGCTCACAGATGAAAACCAACATTTGGTTTTCATGTGGGCTACCTTCCTAACCACAATGCAACTGAGTTAAAAATAGATAACAAGATAAATCTGAAAAATCTACATAACTGGGAAAACTTTAAATGCTTCTAATTAACTCAGGTCAAAGAAGAAAATTAGAAAACATTCAAAGAGCACTATAATGAAAAGACTATGTGTCAAGATTTTCAGGGTGCTTCTCAAGCATAATGAGGGGTCAACTTGACAATTTAAAAGGCAAGAATAGAATAAATTGATTATTCTCAGGAAAAGAAGAGAGCTTTTAAAACCTGACAGTGGGTACTTAGTAAAGAAAATTCAGGTCACAGAGAAAAAGAATATTACAATGAATACATGGATGTTCATGTATAACTGAAAAATTGTGCTCTACACTGGAAATTGACACAACATTGTAAACTGACTATAATTCAATAAAAATGGTTTTAAAAAATTAAAAAAAATAAAAGCGATGCTAAGCATCATTCTTAATGCTGAAACACTAAGAGCCATTTAATATTAGAAACGATACAAGGATAACCCCCGGCATTGCCTGTGTTTAACATTATTCTGGTGGTCTTAGCCAGGACACCAAGATAAGAAAAACAAAACCAAAAAAAGCATAAGGAAGAGAAAGAAATACAAGGCTATTATTTGCAGATAATACCATCTATATAGAAAATACAAGAAAATCTACAAGTTATTAGAATTAATGAGGGTCTGGCAAGGCTTCTCAATATAAAATGTACATATAACAACTGTATTTTCATAGATCAGCAGTAACCTACCAAGTTAACCATAAAGTAACTATGAATCACTTAACTAACTCTATGAAATATCTTTATAAAACTTTATTAAAAGACCCAAACTTGACAACTCTATCCCAGTCACATATAGAAAGATGCACTATAGTCAAGATGCCAATTCCTTTTTTCAGTCTCTACAATTCCAAGTCAATTCTGTTCAACATTCCAAAAGGGTTTTACGAGGAACGTAAAGAGTTGGCGGCAAATTTTTTATGGAGGAACTGAGGTCTGAGGATAACAATTTTGAATAAGAACAAAGCAGGTCACCGGCCCCATCAGATTTCAAGCCCATTCTAAAACCACAATGATCAAGTGTGAATGCGGTCATGGTGCGAGAACAGAAACATGGAATGACAGAGACTCACATGTATCCTGATTTATGATAGACGTGTCATCAGATGTTGTTGGGAAAGTAACGGACCATTTAATCAATGGTGCTGAGACAATTATTAGTCATATAAAACAGAGTTGGCCCTTCTTCACACCAAACACAAAAATAAGTTCTGGGAAGCTTAAGTGAAAAATGTAAAAAGCCAAACTTTACAACTTCTAGGACAGAAAAGAATTTTTTAGACCAGAAACCCAAAAGGGCAATTAAAAAGGGAAAATTTAATACAGATGCATATATGAAATTTTAAATTTGTATACATTGAAAGATTACATAAGGATAAAGAAAAGCCACAGCCTGGGAGAAGCTAATTACATCACGTGAACCATAAAGTATTAATAAACATAATACAAAGAGAATTCCTCTAAATGAGTATGAAAAAGACAAATTACTCAGTAGAAAAATGGACAATGGACAAATAAGCAACAGATAATGGGCAATTCACTGCAGAAGAAAATTAAACAGCCAATAAATATGTGAATGCTAACTAGAAATCACTAGAAATCAGAGAAAGCAAATGTAAGCTAAACCCAGAGCGATACATTGTCTCACACCTCCCAGACTGTAGACTGGCAAAGATTAATGCCTGAGAAACTAAGCATTGCCACCAAACCAGACAACAAGAACTCTCAAATACTGCTTCTGAGAGGCTTAAGTTGATAAATCATTTCGGAGAAACAATTAATATATTTGAAGATGTGCATATCTTATGACCCAGCAATTCCACTCCTAGGTTTATACTAGAGAGTAACTTCCACATGGGTCAAGACGACATTTCAAGAATACTGTATGTTACGCTGTTTTGTACTGCTAATGGTTAACAAGTAGAAACAACGTAAGTATCTATAAATAGAAAACAAAATAAACTACAACATATTTGTACAAAGGAATACCCTATACCTGAGAAAATGAATGAGACCGTGATATAGACTAACTTGGATGATTCTTAAAAAGCACAATATACTGATAGTGACATATAGTTTGAAGAACATGAACACATGAAAAGCAAAGCCACACACCATTTAGGGCTACATATTTATTAGAAGACGTATATGGAAATGATAAACACCAAGTTCATAGTTGTAGTCCTCTCTAGGGAAGAAGAAAAGAGATCAAGGCTTCAACTTTATATATAATGTTCATTATTGCTCTGTAATTTTCTGTAGGGATCTACAATTTCCTGTAAGCCTGGAATACATTTTTAAAAGTCATCCTAGCTCTCTTTAACAATCAAAAGTCCTTCTTGGGTAGATAAATACCTGAGAGTTAATATCAACTATCTTTGAAGCCCCAAGCTAGCTAAACATTAAAAGTTATGTCCAGTAACAGAATTTAAAAACAAAACAAAGAGATAAGGTACGCCACACAGGAGAATTATTTTAGGCGAGTTTGATTCAGCTCAGCTCCCAGCCTGCCTGTGTGGTGGTCTTCATCTCTTGAGTTCTCTTTGCAGAGGGAGGAGAGAGGAGTGAGCTTGCTGGCTTACACTCCTGAGTGAGGGCGGAAATAAGGACCCTGCCATTTTTCCCTTCCACTTCTGACTTTAGTTTGTTCTTTTAAATACATCAGCTTGCTTCTGGAAAAACTTCATACATAACAACTTAATGATGGGTCATTAGTGGCTGTATTAATGAGGTCACAGTGAACCTTCTTTACATCAAACATTAACATCGTTTCCTTGTTTCAAATGGAAATATCAGAGCTTGTTTAACGTCAGAATGGTATTAGAACTTGGG